GCAAACATCCCTTATAAAATAATTTTAGCTTCTCCATCTGCGTATTCTGCCTCATCGGAGTTTCTGTTCGGAGTCTGTCTGGAAATTGATATCAAAGGTGTAAAGGCAATTCTTGGGGTAGTATACTGTCCACCTGCTGTTAATTTTTTCGACGCTTTTGAAAGCACCCTCGCCTCCACTTCACCGGAGTACACGCACTGTATAATAATGGGTGATTTCAATACTGATTTGTTGAGAAATTCTTCTCGTTCTCAAAAATTTCGTTCAATCATAGAGTCAGTCGATCTCCAAATTCTCCCCTTAGCGGCAACTCACCACAACATTGACACTGATGACTCATGGATTGATCATATTATCACGGCTTCTCCCGATTATGTCATTAAGCACGGACAACTATCGGCTCCTGCTTTTTCACGACATGATCTTATTTATATATTATATAAGCTGATTTCTCCTAAACTCAATCCCGTCGTGCATACATTCGTAATTGCTCTAGAATGGATTTTGATAAACTTAAAAGTGACGCCTATTTTATAGCATTTGTGAAATTTAAGAAACATCGTACACAGGACAGCTGGGATCGCTACAGAGTGCTAAGAAACAGATGCAATCAGATGATACGAAATGCTAAACGCCGTTATGTCCATAGTAATATTGCAAACTCTTCAACCGCTGCTGTGGGGATATTTCTTAAAACACTAGGTATTAGTAAGGCCGTTACATCTGACCGTGGTCCATCAATCACTCTGGACGAAATAAATCATCACTTTATTTCTACTTCTCCTTTGGGTCCCACAGTTCGTTTTACGACAATAGCTTCCATTCAATCCATGCCATCTCCTCCTATTCCTTTTTTTCTCTTCTTACCTGTGACTGAGGATGAGATACAGAAATCATTTCAGAATTAGTAAGATTATGGTATCCATGATCCTTGAGTGCCTTTTGCCTGCAATCACACATATCATAAACTATTCCCTTGACTCAGATCAATATCCTACTCAATGGAAAAAAGCATTTGTGCGACCACTTCCTAAAATACCTAATCCCTCATTACCTACCCATTTACGACCAATTTCAATATTGCCATACCTATCTAAAGTTCTGGAAGCCTGTGTTCACAAGCAAATCTCTATGTTCATAACCAAATACAATCTGCTGAATAAATATCAGTCAGGCTTTCGTGCAGGTCACAGTACTACTACTGCACTGATAAAAGTCACAGATGATATTAGAATGGTAATGGATGAGCAAAAGCTTACGGTGGTAGTGCTTGTTGACTTTTCAAATGCTTTTAACACAGTCGACCACGATATAATTTTTTTTATAGAAGAGGGGGCAAACGAGCATGCGGCTCACCTGATGTTAAGTGGCTACCGCCGCCCATGATCAACCGCAACACCAGGGGAATTGCAGGTGCGTTGCCGGCCCTTTAGAAAGGAGTACGCTCTTTTCTTGAAGGTCCCCAGGTCGTATCGGTACGGAAAAATCGCTGGTGGTATACTATTCCACAGAGAGGTTGTACGCGGAAGAAAACTCCTCTTGAAACGTAAAGTGGTGGACCGTCAAGCATCCAGATGATGTGGATGGTATCGCGACGCTTGCCGCGTAGTGCAATATAGCCTTATAGCCTTCCTAACTAATCATAGATTCTCAATCCCAGCTTTGGAATGGTTTTTATCCTATCTTCGCGGCCGCCAGCAATCAGTACGAATAGGGCAAGAGTTCTCAAGATGGGCTGAGATTGAAACAGGCGTGCCGCAAGGCGGAATACTTTCTCCTATAATGTTTTCTTTATTCATAAATTCTATCACTTCAGTTCTTAACTGTTCGTATCATCTGTATGCAGATAATATTCAGCTCTATGTGCAATCTAGTGTTAACGATCTTAACGATAATATTCATAAACTCAACCACAACCTCGATGCCATAAGAGATTGGTCGTGCAGACATTGTGTTTTGGTTAACCCAACAAAATGCAAAGCAATGGTTATAGGTAGTAGCAGATTGTTGGCTAAGATTAATAACGATAATCTTGCTCCCGTCTTTTACAATGGAACGTTGTTGCCATTTTGTAAGTCTGTCAAAAATCATGGCTTACATATAGACCATACCGTAAAAGAAAGTTTTAAACTAAACTTCTGCTAATCCAGACTTTGAAATTGTATACTTGGGGAGTGCTTTCAGCCGGGATGGAAGATGTGATTTAGATGTGGACAGGCGTGTCGCTGCCGGGAACAAAGTCAATAGTGCCCTGAATGCGTTAGTCAAAAGGCAAGGCGTAGTGAAGAGTGCACCCCTTGCAATACATAATGCAATGTTGGTGCCGACTTTGTTATATGGCAGCGAAACCTGGGTATGCCAGAAGAAGCATAAAAGCAAGTTGAATGCAGTGGAGATGCGATCTCTTCGTAAAATGTGCGGCGTTATCATAGCCGACCGAAAGCGAAACGAAGAGATTCGCAATATGGCAGGATTGATAGATGATCTTATCACAAAAATTGATAGGGGCGTACTCCGATGATTTGGGCACGTTGTGCAAATGAGTGAAGACCGAATGGTGAAGAAAATATATAGCGCGAAAGTAAATATTAAAAGGTGTCGAGGTAGACCGAGACTAACTAGTTATAGTAATTTGCTCACATGGTCTTCGAAGACCATGTGAGCAAATTACTCGAAGAGGGGAAGGTCAAGAGTACTCGGATACCTAGACGTACATGTATGAAAAGTAATAACTGAAAGAAGCGAAAGAGGTATGTAAGGATCGTGACACTTGGCTATCTGTTCTCTCTGGCTACCCCGTTAGGGATTGTGCGTGAAGATAAGTAAGTAAGCCTTCTCAACAATTGCATTAGATTCATTTTCGGCCTACGTAGGTATGATCATAGAGGCAGTACCGATCTAAGCTTAAATGGCTCTCTATTCGTCAAAAGCGTAGCTCCCGAACTTTGCAAGTACTACATTCAATTTTAAACGACCCCAATTCTCCCTCTTATCATAAAGATAACTTTCAATATTTGTATTCTACTAACAATAGAGTTCCTCGTTCCCAAAATTGTCTTAAAATTCGTATTCCACCACATGGGAGTGGTTTCTTTAATTTCTCTTTTACTATACAGTCTATACTGCTCCGGAATGCCTTGCCTGTTTATATCAAGAAAACTAATAACAAGAATTATTTTAAAAGACTAGTTCGAGAGCTCTGTCGTAAGTATAATACCACCTGACTATCCGACTATTGTTTTTTCTCTCTCTTTCACTTTGTAAGTAATATTTTGTATAATGTATTTAAATATGTAAAAAAAAATTATTTATCCCATATTATATATTAAGTAAGTATGTATACTTTACTAACTATATATATATTCTATTCATTTGCAGTTTATTTTGTTTTATATTCTTATTATTTATTTATGAAGTGATTGGTTACACCTGCCACAGTTTCTCAAATCATCCAGGGTTGACAGGCAGAGAATGCCATAAGGCATTAAGTCCGCCTTTTATATCCCTTAGTATATACGGTGTATAATAAAGATTAAATAAATAAATAAATAAATAAATTTATCTCTAATATCTAAAACTAATTTTAGATCATCGGCAAACAGTAATGGAGTACTAAAATTGACTACATTTGGCAAATCATTTATCATTAAAATGAACAGCAAAGGTCCTAGATTGCTGCCCTGACTAACACCAGATCTAGTAGGGTGCGGTCGAGAAAAGTGCCCATTGTAATCGACAAAGTGATGCCGGTCTCGCAGATAACTGGCAAAAATGATAGCATGCGAGGTGTGCAACCCACACAAGCCAACTTACAAAGTAACACATCGTTGTCAACTGCATCGAAAGCTTTTCTGAAATCAAAGTAGGCTATACATGCACTTGCAGGCCAGCATATACCGCGGGTACTAGATGCGTCATCAGCTCCAGTAAGTTCCCAGTTGTCTCCCGCCCAGGGCGGAAGCCGTGCTGCGCATCGGACAACTGTGCACTAATCTGTGGATACAGGCAGTTGTGAATGGCCGTCTCGAACACTTTCACTGGAGTGCTTAAGACTGCCATGGGTCTGTAGTCACTTGGAGTCGATCCCCCATTACCTTTCGGTACAGGCACAACTCTAGTGAGCTTCCATTGATCAAGAACCGTAGCACTTTCAATACTTACATTAAAAATGTGTAACAATGGTTTCACTAGTACACTCCTACAGGCCCTAAATATGAACGCTGGTATACCATCTGGTCCAACCGAGTGCTTCGAGGGTAGGTGCGACAGCGCATGCAGAATATCAGCTGATCGCAAACGTTCGAGCTGAGCCCACAAGCCCGACGCTGCTCTCACCGGCGCAGCACCAGCCGCCGTTACGCTTAACAAAGGTGTCCCACGGCTGTATACGGACTGGAAAAATTTACGAATTCTCCAGCGCACTCACTATCTGACAAAATCTTCCCGTTCTTAAATAATTTTCTGCTTCCTGATGTACCTTTCCTCAATCTTATTTACTCCCAAAAGGCTTTAGGCTCCAATGTTAAATGTCCCTGCACACGGTCTCTATACTGGTTATGCGCTCTCTCAGTTTCAGTTTTAACTGTAGCCCTATATCGCGAGAACTCTCTGTAATCACTGCGCAGTTTGCTCGATTTGAATCCTTTGTGAAATTTGTGCTTTAGTTTTATAAACCTATTAATGTCAGCAGTATACCAAACCGGGTATATGTATCTGCTCGTCATCAAACTACTTTTTTTTAGAGGGACACATTTATCAAAACACTCGTAATTTTTATTGTAAAATAAACATAATAATTCGTACAAGTTATCTGAAGGTTTATTTCACCATTGATGATACAATTAGTTAAAATCGGCTTTATTAAAATTCCGCCGCTTACTATTACTGAGGCTTGAGAGTGCATTGGTACGTGTGACGAGCCGGGTATGGGAGACGCGGGCGCAGGCGCGCAGGCCGACGACGGCAGTGGGGCGCGCGCTGTCGCGCCACCACACCCACTATCATGGCGAGCGGCGGCTGGTCAGCGCCTCGTCAGCCCCCGTCACGCGCACATCGCTGCACGCGCTCAACACCAGGTCCAGCTGTCTGTCCTTACAGTTCGGTACCGAGTTGTACTGAGTGTATATGTATAATATGTATATAATCGGAAACGGCTCCAACGATTTTCATGAAATTTAGTGTGCAGGGGGTTTCGGGGGCAATAAATCGATCTAGCTAGGATACGTTTTTAGAAAATGTCGTTTTATCCATGTTTTCAGGAATAAAAAACTGCTACTCTAGTTTTCGTTTTTTTCATCCTTTTCCCTTTCTATTTCGAGCCATTTTTAGTATTAAAAAACACAAATAATTAAATTAAACTAATGGCTCTCATGATTTTTTATTTAAAAATAATGAGTTCAGTTTTTTATTATGTCAGTAAGATCGAAAAATATTATTCATATTTCATCAGTAATTGTGTGTAATTTGTATCTGAATATAATGTCCAAAAAACACGATTTCCAAAAAAAAACCCAGGTATTATACAAATAATTCCAACAAGTCTTAATTTAAAAATAGTCTACAATACAGGCACCTGAACTAATATAAACCTGTATCTCAGGTGTATGTGCTAAAAGATACATTAACAAATATTTTCTGTTTCTTATATAAAATGAATAATATACTATATTTAGCGCCTGGTATGTGGCGGCTGATTATTTGTGCCATCTGGTATCAAGCAGCAGAAATAGGAGCATCAAGATCTTTCTAGAACTTTCCCACTAGCGCCATCTAGTATCGAATGGAGGAGCTAAGCTTTCTAGAAGGCTCCACACTCGAACTTTCTGCACCTGGTCAACTGGGGGTGGTATTTGTTGGAATATTCTGGATATTTCAGTGGAAAAAACCAATTTAAAGCCGTTGAGGGCCGCGACCGAAGCAGTATTGAATTGGCGATACGAGCGAAGCTTTCGGAGTGAACTAAAGTGTTAAGTGTGAATTAAGTTTTAACGGGTGTTCAGTAATTAAAGTGTCAATTTTGGTAATTCATTCGGCAGTTTTTATTGTCGTGAACCCTAAGCTCGTAACAATACTAACTAATTATAGTTATTTCGGTAAAATATATTAAAATTAATTTACATATGATATTAATTAACTTAAAACAATCAGCAACTTCTCCGTATCATCGTATGACAAATTTTGTAACCATGTTCGAATAACATTTTTACAGTCTACCATTTTTAATGGATATATGTACAAAATTGTATTTACTTGATTATACTGAAAAGGTCCTTGGCCCTTTTATTATTTATTCTCTCTTTCATGCATAGGTTTTTTTAAATTCCTTGGAATGTAAAAACCACTGTAAAATAATCTCATATTTGGATATTTCTGAAACCAAATGATTAAAAAAATATATCTACAGAGATTTGTGATCTAACTTTGAAATTAATGTGATAATTTTATATATTAATATGTAAAAGATTTCTTAAATATTAAAATTTGTATAAAAAAGGACGTATAAATGTCTTTGTTTATTAACCGTTGATTAAATGTTACCCTGTTTCATATTTATAATGAAAATAAAAAACATTTTAATTGATATTTTAAAGCTTTCTTCCTATTTTAATTGGTCTACATACGTAATCCACGCGACTGCAGGGTTAAGTAGTCTAGTTACACTTTTATTGTTTATATGTTGCTAGTATGAACTAGTCTCGTAAGAAGTGCCGTTGTGCTTGCGTGTTCAATTTTAAACGGAATTCGTAACATCTATGGGTTGACTTTAAAAAATAATCATATAACTAATCTCGTGGGGAGTGTGCCTCTCACATTTCGATTAACACTACGATGTTTATGAAATATTACGTAATCGATTATCTTATCGGTAAAGTTTTTGATTTTTATTTATGATATTATTTTAAATAATTATAATAGAAAGAAATCATAAATCACAATAAAAATACTTACATATGGAATGTATCTCCATCTTTTTGTAAATTTGAAGTTTAGACTTCTTTTTGCACACGTTAAACGCACAAATCGGTACTTGTTAAAGAGCACCTATAACGATGGAAATGATTAATGGAATGGAATGATGTAATGACGAAATTGATTCCGTAAACAGTTTTTATAAGCGCACAATATTTTTATATCCAATACTTGCGCATAGGGGAATAATCATGCGAGGCAAGTCCATTGGGTTGAAAGGTCTAAGGTCGTGAACTACTGCTAACACAAACATTTTAAGTTTAGTTGGATTCGTTAATGACGTTACTTGTATTATTTAAAAAGAGCAAGGTGCGCTCAGTATTCCCAGGAGAGAATAATACAACATTCCAAATTTGACCTGGTTTTTGAATTTGACGACCTGACTGATTTGGCCTAATTTAAAAAAAAATAATGAAAAAATTAGATCGTATACATCATGAAAGACAAAAACATATGTTCAAAGATACTCGAGAATCAGCTGGTATGTAAACAAGATAAGTATGCCTTTCCGGCTCCAATGAAATTTTTATTTGTAGTTTTGAAGCAACTTCTCTACGGGGAACAGAAAGTTCTAAACCTGTATGATTATTATTTCAATGCATGTTCGGGCATTTTTTTTCTACAACCAATTATAATGATTCAGGGGTTGAGTTAGACTAGTGGTGGTAAACGCGATTGCTGATCATAAAGTCCTGGGTTCGAGTTATAGGTCGGGTCAGTATCATTTATAAGGTTTTTCTTTCAATAATTCCTTAGTAGTAGCAGCCTATATTTTTTCAAAATCTTAAGAAAAATAAAGCTTTTCTAACTAAATCGAATCGCTAAAGGTATACAAAAAATAAATAAGATTACATTTTTCTCCGTCCCTCATATTACATAAAGTGGACTGACATTTAATGTACGTGCCATTGGACGGTTGAGTCAGACAAAATTTTTAAACGAAGAGAATATTATAAAGATGGCATTTAATTTTATAATTTTTGTAAAAGTTGAAAGCTTTATTAATATTAATATTATGTTTAAAAGTTAGAAAATGTTTTGTCAACTACGGCAGTATTCATCAAAGAACTATTTCTTGAAATCCCAATTAGACAAGTAACTTATTCATAAAATTTCTCATTTCATCAAAACCTTGTCTTTTTACGAACAAGTTGCAAGAATTGACAACTTGTTCTTTAAAGTACCATTTCGAAAAATGGCTTGTTGTTTCATTCTTCTTTCAGTATTTAATTATAGCAAATAGACTGGGACACAGATTAAAAAAATTTAAGAAAAAATCTATACAAATATACATAAATAAATTGGAAGTGTTTGTCTGTAATGGACGACACACACGGTCAGTTCAACTAATTATTCCAACTCATCAGTTCCAACCAGGACTGTTGATATTTTTTAAATATCGGATTTTCGGTATATTGATAAATAAACTTATAAATAAAACTCAAATAGTGATATATTTTTAATTATCTATACAAATATACATAAATAAATTGGAAGTGTTTGTCTGTAATGGACGACACACACGGTCAGTTCAACTGATTATTCCAACTCATCAGTTCCAACCAGGACTGTTGATATTTTTTAAATATCGGATTTTCGGTATATTGATAAATAAACTTATAAATAAAACTCAAATAGTGATATATTTTTAATTATCGATATATCGAAAATCCGATATTTTAAAAAATACCAACAGTCCTCGTTTGAACCGATCAGTTAGAATAATCAATTGAACTGACCGTGTGTGGCGTCCATAATATTGTAAGTATTCGATTATATTAAGCTCAGGGGGTTATTTGAATACTATTGTGACATACATACATATAGTATTCTATGATTGTCACACAAATAATCATTTTTAAAACTTTTGTCTATCTTTCCGGGCTTTATGAGTATTATCTAAAAATTTTGAAGATTTACATAAAACGAAAAATTGATAACAAAAATTGATTACGAATAATTTATATTAATCCGGTCGCTAGGATGATATAAAATAAATCAATAATAAATAGTTAAGGCGTAACTGTCTATATTTTATTAAAATTAATAGTAATTATTTTTATATTCTATAAAATGCTATTAAGATAAAAGTGAACAATTATAATAAAAGAAACTGACAGTAATAATATTCTAAGAAATTTTCAACAAAATGTTCTTATATTTTTGTTTCTACGATTTTTTTTACTCGTGACTGGGTGATTATTTTTTATGATAAGATAAAAATATTTTGATAATTTGAAAAATTGATAATTTCTGGATAAAATATAACAAGAATGGTTGTGTTGAAATAAAAACATTTAAATGGTGCTGCCATCCTTCTAACAAATTTTGTTGTTCAGTGGGGGTTTTCAGTTATTCAGTAGCATGTTTCGAAGTATTTGTATGTAGTATGTAAGTTTGGACTTTGGATGCATTTGGTACATATAAGATTAGCGTTTTGTCGTACTAACCACTTTGATATGAAATATCTCCTCTTTGGTTCAGAATTTCCAATCCAAATTTATAAATTCATTTAGCTGGTACTTTACAAGTACAAGTTCTACGGTGGCACCAGTGCTGCAGAAACAGCTCGAAGGATTAGTGATGTGTACGGCGCTGATGTTGCAAAAGAAAGTACGATACGTTTTTGGTTTCAACGTTTTAGTTTTGGAAATTTCGACCTTCCAGACCAACCCCCGTAGACGGCCGGAGACCAAAGTGGAAAATGAAGAATTAAAGGCTATGATATATATAGGCAGCGGATCCATCACAAAACACTTCAAAGATAGCTGCAGGTTTCAGGGTAATTGATAAAACTGTATTAATCCACTTGTAGCAAATCGGGAATCTAAAAAAAACTTGAACGATGGATACCTCATGAATTGAGTGAATCGAACTTGGAAACACGCGACGACTGCTGTGTTACTTTGCTCAACCGACACAAAAATGAAGGGATTTTAAATCGAATCATTACTTATTATAAAAAGTGGATACTGTACGATATTCGAAAGCGCTCGTTGCATTGGCTGAACCCTGGAGATCCAGCCAAATCAGGCCCTAAACGAAAATTTACTCAAAAAAATTTACTTGTGAGTGTTTGGTGGACTAGCGTCGGTGTCGTTCACTACTGCTTTCTAAAATCTGGCAAAACGATTGGCAGACATCT